TGTTATCGTGTACGTATTGTGAGTGTGAGCTTGGTAAATCAGGCCCACTGATCAGGCCCAGCCCCATTGATAGTTTATGCCTATATGTTAATTCTATTATTATTAGGGATGCACCGATACCAGCGCCGATACTTGGCATTTTCATGAGAACTACCAGGGTTGCAGCGGTTGCAGCTGGGACCTAGCTCTGGCGCTCCACCACTGTCCTGAAATCATTAGTTGATATTGTTTTAGAAAAACTGTCACATGACAATAACTAAAAATGTATCAGTAAGTACTTGGGCAAGTATCAGTACTTGTACCTGCAAAAATGGCATCGGTGCATCCCTTTATATGTTTATAAAAACAAAATCATACATTGAAACAGAGATGCACAAAAACTAGGAGCTCCGTGTGTTCCTTACAAATGACAGCTGCCTCCTAACTTTTGAATTTTTCTCTAGTCTAGTCTTGGAGCTCGAAAAGTATCTGTACTTGTACAGAGTACGGTACTTGGTATCAGTGCATTCCTAATTATTATTATTATACAGGATTTATATAGCGTCAACAGTTTGCTCAGCGGCTTTACAATATAGGGAAGACATTATAATTACAATACAATTCAAGACAAGATGGTAAGGAGGGCCCTGCCCGTGAGGGCTTACAATCTAAGAGGGAGGGACAAGTGATACATGAGGAGGTAGCTGTGAGGGGATGACTTGTTTGAGAAAGAGTTCAGTGGTTAGTTTGTGTAAGTGTGATAGGCTTCCCTAAAGAGCGATCGCCGAAAGGCAGTCAGAGTGGGAGAAAGACAGACTGGTTGGGGTAAGGAGTTCCAAAGAATGGAAGAGACTCTAGAGAAGTCCTAAAGGCGAGCATGGGAGGAGTTGACAAGGGAGCTGGGAAGCAGGAGGTCTTGGGAGGAGCGTAGGGGACGGTTAGGATGATACTTTGAGGCAAAGTTGGAGATGTAACCTGGGGCAGAGTTGTGAATGGCTTTGTAAGTGGTTGTTAATATTTTGAATTGTATCCTTTCGGCGATTGGAAGCCAGTGGAGGGATTGGCAGAGGGGGGTTGCAGACATTGAGCGGTTGGATAGGTGGATAAGTCTGGCAGCAGCATTCATGATAGACTGAAGGGGATAATATGTGTAGTGGAAGGCCAATGAGGAGGGAGTTACAATAGTCAAGACGAGAGATAACAAGTGAGTGGATGAGCAGCTTTGTGGTTTCATTGGTGAGGAAGGGGCGTATTTTGGAGATGTTACGAAGGTGAAGATGGCAGGGTCTGGATAGGGATTGGATGTGGGGAAGAAAGGTGAGGTCAGAGTCAAGGATGACACCTAGCATTTCTAATTCTAGTTCTGACACAAGCCAGGTGATACTAGGCATCTTAACCATCTTCGCCCATTAATGTACATTCTACATGTTTTTCACCCCATTATTTTCCAACTGGTCCTATTTATACAGTTAACCAATCACTACATGCCAAGTTATTGAGGCAGTGTTCACTGATTGGCCAGTTCTCAATCTTAAGCTATGGTTCTGAGGAAGGGGGTGTGCCCCGGAAATGCATCAACCATGCTCACAGCAGCCTGTGGCGATACTTATGTGACCCGTGGCTGTTGTAAAACAAGTCAGGGTGGATTTCTCCTCATGACTGACAATGTGGCAATCCAATGGAGTTTTACATACTAATGCATTCTGATCTCTATTCTGTATATGTCTGTTTTTAATCTATATAATAAATGAGCTTTACACATGGAGGCGGCGCTCTGCTCTGTGTTCTGTTTACAAATTCTCAATAAAAAGGTTCTAGTCTGTGTTAAATAATTTTTAGCATAATGTTGCTGGCATGTGATGAGGGGAAATTGTTTAATAGTTTGTGCAGTCTTTCAGGTCTCCTTTATTTGGTACTGGCATATAAACTGACAAACATTCAGTGGGACAGTCAGAGTGGTTTTCCAAACTTGTTTGCATAAATTGGTCAGCACTTATTTCTTCTTCAGTTTTGCAGTAATTCCTTCCTTTTTGACAGTGATCTATGTGCTAACCTGACTTCATCGTTTATCACTGTGGGCTGCCCTGTGTTGCTGGTTGAAGAAAAAAAGTGCCTGGTTATTGATACAATGTCCACAAAAGTCTTCGGTGTATTCCTTCCATGTGCGCTTGATCTTTCTTCCATTAGTGATTTCTCTATGGACATCTATAAGCATACATTCTCGATGCTGAAATTCCTTTTTGAGTTCACAGATTTTTTGGGAAAATTATTCTTGTTTTACCACATTTATTTTCATCTTTAAAGTTTTTACAAATGTTATTGTAATATTGGTCCTTGTACTTTCTGGGCGCTCTCTGAAATTCATCATGAACTTATTTTACAAGAGGTTTATCTTTCTTCATTTTAACTTCGCTATTGTGCAATTTTCATTGTATCTCGTGTCTACTTTTATTTCTTAATCTTTTTATTTAATTTCATTTTGTCCAACAGTTCATTTGATTCTCCATCAGTAGTATTAAATATCTGAAATGTGTTGCTTACTGTAAAGATAGGTTGTATTATTGAAGACTGGTAATTATGTTATTTTTGAGTTTCACTTGAAGCTTGCATTAGTTAATTATCTGTTCCACAATCCACTCCAGGCTATGGCTTTGCTATTAAACTTGAGCGCTTGCATAATTTGGCATTGTTAGTGTATTCTTGAAGACTGATAATTTTGTTATTTTTCCATTTACTTGAAGCTTGCATTAGCTAATGATCTGTTCCAAAACCCGCTTCAGGCTATTTGTTTGCTATTAAAGTTGAACTCTTCCATCATTTGATAATATAGTCTATTTGATTTTGTTGAAGTCCATTTGGTTATATCCCGGTGTATAGATTTTGCTTTGGTTGGCTGAAGAATGAATTAGTAATTGCAGTACAAAAGCTAAGTCTTTCTCCTGCTTCATATGGTCATGGAAACAAAATTGTTTCCATTGTATTTCCATTGTGTTTCAATTGTATTTCAGACCCTACCTTGTCATTATTATTCCATTTGATTGCTTGCATGTCTTGTCATCCTCAGCCTGGATGTGATCATAAAAATGTTGAACTTCTTCATCTGCATGAGTTGTTGGGGCATAAACTTGTACAATTGTGATGTTGAATGGCGGTGCCCACAGTATGACAGCAGTCGATTAATCACAGTCCTTCACAGTCCATAACAGTCTTGCCAATGTCTTTCCTTACTTTAAAATCTAAGCCATTTCTTCTTTGTTTTACATCACCAGAATAGTAAATTGTATGGTCTTCTGACTGAAAGGGGCTGATGTACTAAAGGCAAATAGGCTGTTAACTTTGTAAGGGAATTTCCCCTTAACTTGTAAGGTGAAGCTCTGCTGACTTCCATTATCCAATCATGTGCAAACAAAAGTACTGTTCCCCCATTGCACAGGATTGGACATTCTTCAGATTTTCTTTTCTCAAATGGCAACATTCTCCTAAGCAAGTAGGCTTGCATGCATTAGGGAAGTTAAACGTAATGCTGTCTGAAGGGTCAACTCTTGTTATGGCCCATTCACACTATTGCACTGCAATAACATGCGTTTTGGCATGATGCAGTACCCTTCATTCTAACGTGTGTTGTTGTACATTGCTAAAAATGCTACATGCACCTTTTTAGTGGGCTGACTTAACACAATAACATGCATTAACTGTGTGAAGAGGTCTATAGGGTCACCTATGACAGACAGTTTGTTGTAAATATGCCTAAAACCTACCAGCTATATTGGGGACCAGCAATATACGACTATATCAATGGAGGGTGATTACAGAGGTGTAGGGCTGTCCCTATAATGAGGTGACTTGAGACTTTTGTCTCAGGCAGCGCTTCTATCGGTCACATGGGCAGGCAGAGCGGCATGTAGTCAGTGCTGTCCCCTACATTGGTATAGATGAGAGGTCTATGCCCTGCTTGTCTGTACTGAAGACAAACTGTACACACTTACCTGTGGGCTGGAGCTGAAGAGGCTGCAGCCAGGAGAGCCAGACAGATTGTCAGTGACTATATATGCACGTATGTGACTGTGTATGTATGTATGTCTGAAGCTGAGTGTGTGTATGTAGCTGTATATGCATCTGAGTGCGTGCTGACAGCAGTGGATACTCTACAGAACATTCCTACTACCCCCAACTCCCCTCTGTCCCACTCTACATGCATACATTCATTTAACAGCAAAACAATGCCACTGCCCTGACTCCAAGTCTGGTCACACATCGTGTGTAGGGAAAAAGCTGTCACTGCAAGAATTTCGCAAGCCTTGGGATTATGTCACAGGGATTAATAAAAGAAGTATCCCTCTGCAATAACAAAGAGAAAAACAACAACAATTTGTCTTTAAGGATAAATGTACATATTTTATTTTTTATCAAAGTTATTTACCTGTAAAAAGTCCCCTTTCTGTGGACATTCCAAAGACCTGAGACTTCTGCTGGGCGCTGCCATCTTAAATGTGCTATCAACAGCACTGGCAGACTCAGAGCTGTTACTCAAGTGAAATTCTAATATTCCCCTCTCCTTCTCCCCCAGCTACATAAAAGGTTTAACAGGGAGGTGAGGGGAGGAGTTGGATGAGCTGCACCAGCACAGACAATAAGTAGGACAGAAAGTGCGTATACAGGTGATTCTGATGATGCAATAATGAAGGATAATTTAACTTAGAGAAATGTGCAAGCCAAAGAAAATGACATCCATGTTTGATGGAGCTGCTTTTTTAAAACAATTAAAGTCCCCATTCTGTGTACTATAAGTAATGAATAAGAAAGCACAAGCAAATAATAATAAAAAAGAAATCAAAGATATGGCAAATGTATATACATAAATGGCCAAAAATAGATGACACACAGTGTGACAAAAAAAAAAATCACATGACTGTAGCATAAACTCAACTAAAAGCAATAACATGGATTGTCACAGTAAAAGTAGGCATTATGTTTCCCTCCAAGAAAGCACAGAATTTGGGACACTAGAGTAAAGTTCACATAATGCTGTGGAAGCGGATCTACCTATTGTTGTATACAGGTCTTTCGGAGCAAGTGAAGCACAGAATATGTCCAAATTATTTAATCCAATTTACCACAAAAACAAGAATGCTGTGGCTTGCTGACACACCCATGTCAGTGTCACACTGGAAATAGTACCAGCCTATCAATCAAAACTAGTTCTCCTTTTTATCCTCTTTTTCTCTTTTGTTGTTTCCAGGTACACTAGGTTCTCTTAGTGCCAGGACCCAGCCTAAGATGACTAATAAGATAGCCAGAATGTGGATAACAAAATAAATAGATCTCCAGTAGCGCACAGTGTCAGAGAAGGTGAGAAGAACGAAGCCCATGCACATGTAGTCGTATGCTCTCATCTTAAGGAACCAGTGCACCCAGTCAAACACCAGTTTGCCAGAATCAGCAAGATGACGTCTCAAGCCCGTATCCATCATCCCTTCAGATGCCAGACACAAGGGGATAGTCAAAAAGCTCAGGTAATAGCCAGGATGGATTCCATGCCAGTAAGCACTGATAAGCATAGTCCACGCACTCCTGTTATTAAAGAGAAAAAACAGAAAAAAAATTAATGAATTTACATGCAAACACTTAAGACAAATGCCCAGCAATTCTGCGCCGTTAAAAGAATGCATTATACAATAAAGGCTAAAATACCTAAAGCCCAATGCTGCTGTTAATCTTACCCATGCACTGGACTGCATGGATTAATAGCTCCTTTGGCTAGGGGAGAAAAGAAGTAGAAGAAATACTTACCTTATTCCTTGCTCCGGCAGGCTTCTCCCTTTCCGTGTGACTGGTCTCCAGAAACTGCTACACTTTGCTGCCTGGCCATTGGGAGCTCTCCAATGTCATAAGGCACAATGCAGAGAGCCTGCTCACATTCTGGAGTGTCAGAATGGAGGAGAGGGCTTGCAGCCAAGAAAGCAAGGAATAAGGTAAGTGTTTTTACTTATTCTTTCCCCCCCTAGCCAAAGTAGTACGTGTGGGAGAAGGAAACGCACTGCGTGGGAGAAAGAAACGCACTGCATGGGTAAAGTTTAACAGCAGCCCGTAGTTGGCTGCTAAAATCAGAAACATTACTGAAATTACCTTAGTCTGAGTTCTGAGTAATCCCTGAAGAATAAGCACCCACACCTCTATACTAAGTAAAGCTGGCCATACACCTTACAATTATCTGCAGATTTTCTGTGGTCAGATGGAAAAGGTGCAACAGATTCCTCCATCTACACTTAACTGTGTGGATGGAGTAATCTCCACCTGGGCCAATCTGTTGCACGTTTTCCATCTGACCACAGAAAATCTGCAGATAATTGTAAGGTGTATGGGCACCTTTAGTGTAGTTTATTAAGCCATTGTGAACTTCCTCTCTGTTTCTTGTATCACCAGTTACTTTCAAACTACCAAGGCAGATCTGAATTTGGTGGCTGTGCCTCATCAGCATTTAGGGTGTTCCAGCATCCCCAGCAGGTGGATCCAGGATCATCAATGGGTAATGATGTTGACCTGTGCAAAGCAGCAAAGTGTGGATGAAAGCCTAAATACGTAGTGGCACGGCTGTGCTCTGTGTATGAATCTCAAGGTTTCATTTTCTGTAGCGAATGGAGTTTACCTTTTTTGCAGAATCTACAGCATTTTGGAGGTATGTTGTGTCATGGTCATATAAAGTCAACTAATCTGGAGTTATTCCTGCAGTCTTAACTTCATCTTTAGCAAAGATTACATGACCAATGGTCAAAGCAGTGTTTTCTGTGTAAAATGTATTACTTTAATACATTGAGTTTGGTACAACAGCCAGATTATAATTTAAGTACAGGTCCAATTTAAAAGCAGATTTGTGGGGTAATACATTACATGCCCACCTAATCTACAAAAAAAACACTATTTGAATAAAAATGGTCTACCCCATATCATTCAATTCAAGCAGTGCAGAGAAGAGCACAGGGACTGGAGACTGAAGACAATTTTAGAACTGTCAATGATGGCTAAGTTTTTACAGTAAAATGTTTAGCACCATGGAAGGAAGTCTAAACTGCACATTACACTTGCCACCCAGATACTTTAATTACAACTTTATGAAGGACAGACAACATCTAACAAAAATATGTAATACTGGTATTTACATGTATACATTAATTATATTAGAATTTTAATGCCCTCACCTTTTCATGGTATCCATACATAAAGCAAACTCGTATATCATTAATTGAGTGACGCAGCACTGTTGATTTTATACCATGGGTTATTCTTCTGCCTACAGAACGATGGACACCATGAACAAAAATCAAGGGGCCAGCCCAGAGGCTATAACTCCAGCCCTAACAAGTCTGCCCAGTCTCACTTAGCAGCCTAAGGAGGTAGGACTTCTCTCCCTGGCTCTGCTGGATCATGATTTCTCGTGTGGATTTTTACTTCAATCAAGCAGGTGATGGTTGTTTCATGATAGCTATCTGAAATCATGATGTTTCTACAGTCAGCCAAAGAATTCAGATCTTCTTATTGCCTAAAATAACAGGATTTTTGCCTTACTTGTGAAATCTGTTTCTTGGTATACATTACAGGACACAGGGAGTTCATTCTTTAACAGATGGGGTATGCAGGTGATTAGACACCAGCAAATCAAGAGCTTTAAGAAAGCCCTGTATAAACCCTCCTGCTCCCAGATTGCCTCAATTGTGTAGCAAGCAGTATAAAAGTGAATTATAGAAACAGAGGGAAGGGTCCTGTGTTCTGTGATGTACTCCAAGACAACTACAGGTAATTCGACAGATGGGTGGGCAACAAAGCAAACAGGCCTGGGAAAAAAACAACTAACCCCAATAGCTAACCATAACAGAAGAAGCCCACATATCAGAGGGCTGCCTGAAGAACCATACAGCTGAAGCTAGCATCCACAGAGGCCTGAAAATTCACCTGGAAAAACTTTGAAAAAGTGTAAACAGAGGAGCAGGTAGTAGTCTGGGAGATATGGGATTCTAGAAGGCCCAAGAAGTATTATAGC